TGGCAACGCTGGCTGCRAAGTCAGCCTTCCCGAACATCATCTCTGATAACGCTTTAATTATCATCCCTCCTGAAAATAAGCCTTGTTTCATCAGCCTGGCCTGTCTCAGCACCGCAAACTTTCTCCRGCTTGGAAATCATCTCCTTTATTTCCTTTTTCCCCTGCTCTATACACAGTATTACTCAGAGGCAAGCCAAATCCCTTCCAATTATATATCATGACGTTTCCCCAGCGCTGCACTAAAGCAAGGCCCTTCACTTCTAAATGGCATGGTTTATAACAAATTGTCTGTTATACCAGACAGAAACTGATTTCCTCAAACCCAGCATATTAAAGTGAGTACATTCATTCTGGTTGTAACACACAAAATGTGATTATAACAGACACTTTGGGGGCTTTTTAAGGCTAGCAGAGAAGAGGAGGATAAGCTGGAGGGGAAGAAAGAATTGACAAGTAGAGAAATGACAGAGAAAGAGAAACAGCCACGCTGATTTCATTTCTTACAAAACAAAAATCTTTGTGTGTTGTAGAAATGTGCTTTAGTTAACACCGCCAGATAGCCAGAGCAAAAGCTGCCAGTGCTGCCTGGAACGAAAATTGCTCTATTGTGCTTAGAAAACCATTTGCCACAGTGAGGAGAACGCTTTCCAGGTAGCACAAAGCAGATCTGAAACCAATGGGACCTTATCCTGCAACTGTTGCTCCCTCAAATAATCCCTGMAGCCACGAGGAGCCCCAACTAAATCAGTGTGAGTGAGGATTACGCGGGAGTGTATCAAGGTTGGGGGATTAGACCRGGATTATCACTAAAACCAGTAATTCCCCATCTTACTGATGGTGGCCATCAGCTCAGGAGGCGGCGGATGGATGGCCAGGGCCCCCTGTGCTGGACACTGCTCTGGGGGTGCGGGTCCCCAGAGGACTTGGGTCCCCTTGGGTCACAGGCTGCTCCAGGTGACCAAGCTCCTGTCCAGAGGGCCCCACCAAAGCAGCACCAGGGCCAGACCATGGGTGACACCACCCTGTGTATGGTGTGAGGTCACTGCTGCTGCTCCCCTTCCCAACATGGGCACAGGAGCCATGATAGAGCCAGCCCAGAGCCATCCCAGAGCCAACCCAGAGCCATCCTGGAGTCCCATGGAGCCATCCCAGAGCCATCCCAGAACCATCCTGGAGCCATCCCCGAGGCCACCCTGGAGCCAAAAGAGCCAGAGCTGAGCCAGAGCCAGCCCAGAGCCATCCCTGAGCCATCCCAGAACCATCCCAGAGACATCCCAGAACCATCCCAGAGCCATCCCAGAGACATCCCGGAGCCAAAAGAGCCAGAGCTGAGCCAGAGCCAGCCCAGAGCCATCCCTGAGCCATCCCAGAACCATCCTGGAGTCACATGGAGCCATCCCAGAGCCACCCCAGAACCATCCCAGAGACATCCCGGAGCCAAAAGAGCCAGAGCTGAGCCAGAGCCAGCCCAGAGCCATCCCTGAGCCATCCCAGAACCATCCTGGAGTCACATGGAGCCATCCCAGAGCCACCCCAGAACCATCCTGGAGCCATCCTGGAGCCATCCCCGAGCTCTGAGAGTCAGCCAAGAACCACCATGCTCATTCCACTCAGGACAGCCCATCCCAGCCCCTCCAGGAACACTCTCCTGCTCCCATGTCACACCTCCCACCTCTGCATGCCCAGGACTGGCACCAGAGTGAGCTGCAGTGCCYCAGGGTATGTTTCCCATGCTGGAGCAGCAAACGAACACCATTTCCCAAAGCAGAGCAAATCTGGGATGTAAAACAGCCTCTGAAACACAGACACAGCCATCACACCTACTGTTCATTTTTTAAATCATGAAGCCAAAACCCAGGCATGTAAGTGTTACCCAAGGRTGGCTACTCTACATGCAAGTCATGTTCCCTGGATCCTAAAAGGCTCGGCATTCAGACCAGTTTCCACACCACCCCGTGCAACACGCATTTTTATCAAGGAAGCCGCCTAATGGCTCCTATTAATTTTGATTTTTAATCTCCTGGTACAACTCCCAGCAATATACATGCAAAACCTGACAACAAGCCCTTTTGGTTTCAAAGCTGCCTTCTCCTCCAGCTCAGAAGGAAGATAAAAAGGATCCCTGGGCAGCAGTGAAGCTCTGAGCAGCAATGCCCTTKCAGCTCCCACGTGTCCCACTGTCCGTGCTGCAAAAACAAGTGCAAACACTAACAGGGGCCAAGGCTGCTGCTGCCAGCACCATCACTGCTCACAAACTCTCTGTGCCATCGCTGCCCACGGCCAGCAGGATGCTGAGAGGCTGTGGGCAGGTACCCCTGAGTGGCACCCACGGAACCCCAGGATATCCCACTGCTCCCAAGGCTCTCCTGGCAGCCGTGCCCTGGCACCAGCAGAGCAGGCAGTTGAGCTGGTCCCCACCCAAAGGGAAAAGCTTTTTAAGGGTGGTCTCAAACTTTCTCACCCCCCACAGACACCACCCTTTAATCTTTTCCAGATCACCAGGGAAAGATGGGGAGCACCGACAAACCGAATTATTCCCAGCCCCGAGACCTGCCACCGCACAGAAGGAACATTTCCTGAAACTGCGCAAACAAGCCATCCTTGGGGACTTTTATTTCAAGGCTCCTGGCTGTTCAAGTAAATGAGGCTCACGTTAAAGACCAGCTACATCACAAACCCAGTGCTGCYGGGGCAGTGTGTGTCTGCAGAGGCAACCGCTCACCCCCAGCCAGCATACACCAAGTGACACTGCCAGAGACACATTTCCCTCCTGTTTTATCTGTTATCAGCCCATGCTTTGCCTTCCCATCAGGARAAGTCACTCCTAGGTGGAGCAGCAGTGATATCTCCCCAATGCTGACACCTCATAAAGGCTCCCAGGGGAAACCATGGCAGCTTCATCACTGGAAGCGATTCAAACCAGCCCAGACAAAGTACCAGTGCAAGCACTGCAGGGAAYGCTTTGGCTCTGCAAACCAGGGATGTGTTTATAGAATCCTCACCAGCAGGAGGTTACCAACAGCATCCTGCACAGCCTCAGCATCACAGTACAGCACCTGCTCTGACAGGGCTGTGGGGGCACAAGGCTGTGATGCTCCTCCAGGGAAGCACCTTCTATGGAGTTTCTGTGTCACCCTGTGTGCCAGGACAGAGCTGTCACCCCTGTACCAATGAACCTCCTCACTCTCATTTAGAAGCCAGCAGAACCCACATCACCAGCGAGACAACTTTGCCTGCAACAGCTGGAAGCACAACAATAGGACTCTGCCAAAAAACACAGACATTCCCACCCTAAACTAAGCTTCCAAACAGCTTCCAGTTGGGATTTCTCCACCCCATGGCCTGACCCTGCCCTTTTGTGCAAAAACACCTGCAGAGAGTGAGCAGATCCCCATCAGAACACGTTTCTCTCACATGAGAGCTGCTGGTTCCTTTGCAGGACAGGGGAGCTGCCTGCTGCCCTCCTGCCAGCTCCCAGGGCTGCTGGGGGAGAATGTTCCCCTGACACTCTGGCCACTCATCACAAAAGACAAACTTCCTTCTCCAGGCAARGTTCCAGCTCTTGACAGTGCCTCTCACCTGTACAAGTGATGGGAAATGGGGCAAGCAGGAGCCACAGGGAGAAACAAGCATCCCACCTCCCTCACAAGAGGGTGAACAGAGCAGGGAAATCTCTGGAGGGCACATTCCATGAGACCCCAGCCCAGTTGTTGTGTCAAGAAGAAGCACAGGCAGCACTGCCTTCTGCCTGCAGCTTCCTGTTAACTTTATCAGCTGAGTTATGAAGTTCCTGACGGTTCTTCCATGCTCCCTGGCACCAGAGACCTCCCACTGCCAGCGTGCACTTCTGGATAATGCCAGCATGTGGTGGATTCTGTGAGTGGCAGCAGTGAATCACAGGCTGACAGGATGCTCCACTGCTCCAGTGCCCACAGCATGGCAGAGATGTGCCCCAGAATCCTCTCCAAAGGACACTGCTCCACGGAGACAGGAATTCCTCAGGGAGCACTGCCCCCAGCATCCCAGCAGTGATGGTCACTCATGGGCCAACACCAGCACAGGAACTCTCAGAGCTGGCTGTGCCTCGGTGCAAGTTAAACACCAGGGTTCAGTGAGCACTCTGCCAACACAACCCAGCACCAGCCCTCTCCAGAAGGGCCAGGCTCTGCTCTCCACACCACCACGATGAATCTGAAGCAGCTCCACTGCCTTCAGCAGCAGCATTTTGCATTTACACCAGCACACTGAACACAAAACAGAGCGAGCCATAAATATTTCAGCTGCTTTTTCAGCTTTGTTATTCTGTTCAAAGCASGAAACATGACAAACCTTTGATTGTTTTTCTTAATACCAAACAATAATTCAAAGAGAGACAAACAAGCAACATTAAATGATGCCGGTGATGTATGGGAAAGCCAAAGAATTAGAAGGAACTGATGAGGATGGTGTGGATGAGAGTGGTCCCTTTCCCTGCCTTCAGCAGGTGCCACACCTGGCTGGCACGGGAGGGGACAGCACCAGGCCAGGAGTGCAGGGGTCACACTGGGGCATCCTGTGCTGTCTGCAGCCCCAGCACAGCAACAGCTGCCAACACCRCTTTTAACAACCTTTTACAAAAACTTCTGTGAAGGCATCTCCTCCCTGGAGCATCACCACCCTCAGAATGCACCTGCAGAGCAGCCACCTCCAGCCTCCCAGACACACAGGGGCAGCCTGGCCTGGCCCATCCCCACCTGTGAGGGCACTTCTGAGGATCTCTGCAGCAATAAAACACCCACCCATGGCCACAGCTCAGGGCTGCTCCAGAGCCCTGCTGCTCACCCCTACCCATCCATCACTGCCTTCCCCTGGGCTGTCCAGCACACAGAAACCACCCCAGTTTGCCCAGCAGCCCATTTGGGCAGCACTGACACTGACAGACACACAGACAGCAGTCCATCAGCCCAGCACCACCCTCTGCCACCATTCCTGGGCACACACAGCACCGCTGCCCCGCTCACCTCCGGCAGCGGCATCCCGTTGATGATGAGGTCGGGCTGCTGCGGGCTCTGGCCCGTGAAGGTGTGGTGGTAGATGTGGTTGGAGCCAGCATTCCTGTTGTTCTGGCTCTCCACGTTGAGGAAAGTGCTCTCWGAGCGGCGGCAGCCCAGAGGAAGGGTCTGCTGGTGGTAGTCGAAGTAGTTGAGGGAGGAGGTGAGRGAGGAGCAGCTCACAACGTTCATTTTGTCCGTCTCCTCCACGTCCCGCGGCACCAGGCGGATATCGTTCTTGCTGATTTTCTTCTTCTTGCTTGATTTCTTCTGATGGCCGTAGGAGTACTCTGCGATTCTGGGGGACAGAGAGAAAATGAGARGCTGAGAGCATCCTAAACCCTGCCCCGCTAAATACTCCTGCAGAAACCCAGAGGGCTTGGCCCCCATCTCCATGTAGGATTCTTAGTCATGCACATTACGTCATGTTTTGGGTCTGGTGGCACGACAGTCTTTAGCTTATTTTCATATGTAYAATGTTTTCAGGTCAAATATGTAAAAAAATGGGAAGGAAGCATGCTCCTGTTTTGATCTAGTGTATGTAATTGCTGATATTTAGTTACTAGAAGTGAAGTCCAGCCTGCAGAAGAGAAAAATGGAGATGTTAAAATCCATGAACTGAAAAGGGTACCTGCATTCATTTCCATGCATAATAAGGATTTTAAAAGTGATTTAATTTTGTCCTTGTAATGAAAATTCAAAACGAATAGCAGATTTTTTTCCCAGTTCATTTTCCATAGCAATAAATAAAGCAGACCCAGAAGCAGTCCTRACTGGCAACCTCAATTCTCTCATTCCAAAGGCTGTTTGTTTATTAATGCTCTGTCTATATTGCTGCTGTTCTTACAGTCTCCTGATCATACCTGATCTTTTCTCCAACTGAATGCCATTCCTCCCTCACCCAACATGCACATTCCCTTCTGCTCAGAAATGCTTTCACCTTCTAGAAACCAGAGAACAACAACCGTGTGTCTTGCAAAGAAAAATTATCCTTTTTGACCTTTTTCTTTTTTTTTACTGCAAGCTTGTTTTTCTCTGCCTTTCCTTCCCTCTTTGCTTCCCACCTGCCAAAAGAATCAACTGACAAAGTGCCTTGTTTGCCTTCTGCAAAACACCGGAGGAAAAAAGTTACTGCAAAACACCACCCAAGCAAATAATGACAAATTATTTGCACCGTGCMTTAGTTGGGTATGCTTGGCTCAGAGTGACTGTGGCTCGTCTTCCCACAGTGAGCAACACAACAGTCCCTGCCATGAATCTGTACATGCACAGCACTGGGCAGCTCAGTATTTCCTAGGGAAGCACATCAAATGCTACRCAGAGTCAGAAATACTCATTTGAAAGTCAGGATTTTGCTCCTCTTCTTGTTAGAATAACTGCATTAAAAAAGAAAAAGGGGAAAAAAAAAAAAGAAAAAAATCCAATCGCTGGCAACAGAAATAATGGGATGAATAAATAATACAGTTTATCTGGAAAGGCAAATATTGGACAAATASTCTTGTTCCAGAAAGCTAATTGCCTGAGCATGAAAATGCCACTGTCGAGCAGCCCTCGTATGTGCCTCATAAATTARCACATTTTTTGAAGACTCTCCAGCAGCTCTGGTGAAGAATCTCTCAAGCGAGGCACTGCAAAGCCTAAAGGCATGGGGAGAGGGAGCCCCACGGTCACTGCCGCTGCTGAGCCTGCCTGGAGCTTSCCCACCTCTGAGCTGACTTTGCTCAGACACACACTGATAACAGCCCCAGCATCCCCCTGAGTGTGCAAATAAATCAGAGCAAGGCAGGCATTTCTGTTGTGCCAACAATCTATATGCTGCTGACTCGCCTAACAATGCTTGATGAAGCTTTAATTGTTTTGTTTACCTAAATGTTTAAGTTTGGCAATGTGAGAGCCCAATTATTTCCTGCAGGCATTCATTTTGCTGTCCTTTCTCTATTGACCAATTATTTAATTAAACCGCACTTCATTAATCCCTAAGCCGTCACAGTAAACCCAGGGCTTATACGTATGTGAGAAGCTGTTAGGGGCACCAGCACAACATGATTTTTATCCATTCAGGTCCTATCCTCTTTTAATGGGCCGAGCTGGCAAGGAATCTGGTCTATGAGCTTTCACTTGAAGCTAGACATCCCATAATACAGCACAGACCGACCTTTATTTGCAGATGATTTTTCCCCCATCGAGCAAAAAGGCTTATAAACGCACTTTACGCTGTGAAAACGGGGTACAATGCCCCGACTCCCCGGCATTATTTCTGCGAAAATAAAACTTTAAAGACCGCACATCCCCCCGCGCCGCTGAATTGCCAGGGGCGAGCGTGCGTTTCCAAGGTAGAGCAAAATTAATTTCCATCCCTCCTCTCTGAAACGASTCGGTGCCGAAGGAATGGAGAAGTCATGGCTATTTCACTAGTAACAGGATTAAACCATTTATGAGGCATTGCAGCTGCTCTTTTATGGCATCTGATTGATATTCATGTGTGGTTAGCATTTGTCTCCTAACTTGTGTAACACAGAGAATAGTAAAAGAGAGACAATAATCGCCAGGCTGTTACATATTCAGGGGACTGGATTTCCCCTATCAGCCTTTCAGCGGCTCCAGGCGCGGGGCTGACCTCCCCTCCGGCATTTGGGACCCCGGAGCACTCACCCGGCCAGGGCAAAATGACACAGCGCTGTAAAAATGCTGCCTCGCCCCGCGTCTGCCGGCCCAGGCAGCCCTGCCGGCTGCGGGAGCTGCGCACCGGGGTGGGGGGGTTTGCTTTGCTTTGCTTTGCTTTGCTTTGCTTTGCTTTGCTTTGCTTTGCTTTGGCCACTATTTTGTGCAGTTGGCCCCGTGGCTGGCCGTGGCCAGGAGCCGCAGCGGGCACACAATAGCTCCTTTGAAGGGCCAGCCAGGGTTTAGGGATGCCACCGCGCCGCTCGCAGCGGCTGCCGCGGGGATGCTGCGGTGGCCGGGGGGCTTTCGCCCCTCGCCAGCCCGGGGGGCTGTGCTGGGGACGGGGGGCTGCCCAGGGGAACCAGCCGTGCCCCTAGAAAACCGTTCTCCCTGCGATGGAGCACGGAAAATCAGGGATGCTGCAACAGATTGTCGAGCCGCACAATTAAGTCGATTCGTTACTCGGCGGGGATTTCTGCTTTCCTCACAGAGACCGATTCCTTAAAGCTTTGCAAGAAATTTTCTTACAGGAACAGGAACCTCCGTTTTGTTCCTAAGGCAAATCCACCCTCTTGGCCACCCCCAAGCACACAGCAGAAAATGCAAAAGTAACTGYGATGGCAAAACCCAAAGCAGAGCCGCAGGTACACATAAACAAAGGTATCTTTACCTGCAGTTGTAGGTCCTGATTTCCTTGTTATCCCTTTTGCACTTGACTGCCACAAAGATCATGGTGACAAAAAGAATGGCTGCAATAGACCCCAGGGCAATAATGAAAATCAAGGAGAGGTTAACAGATCCTATGGACTCCTGGGCATCCAGGGCTGGAGACAGGTATATCAAAATCAAGGCAGAAGCCGAGAGAGATGTTTTCCCATGGTCATGAGCCACCACGATGAGCTCATAGGCTGTTTTGGCGTTCTCCCCGAAGGCTCTGGTGGTCCTTATCTCTCCATTGACCTGGTCGATCTCAAAAAATCCTCTGTCTCCTTCCACCATTTCATAGGAAAGTCTGCCATTTTCACCCTCATCATAGTCATCTGCCTTGACCACCGTCACCAAGTAGCCAACCCCCGCGTTCCTGGGGATGTACACCTCTGCTGTCCCGTTGACCAGCGGCGGGGCCGTGATCACGGGCGTGTTGTCATTGACATCCAGGACAATCACCCTGACAGTGGCATTGCTCTGCAGAGATGGATTACCCCCATCTTTTGCCAAGACCTTGAAYTCAAAGGCCTTGGTCTGTTCATGATTGAAGGACCTCAAGGCATAGATATCTCCAGAGTTGGGGTTAATGGAGACATAGGTGAAGACAGGCATGTCCCTGACTTGGGAGGGCACGATCTGGTAGGACACGCTGCCATTGAGGCCCAGGTCAGGGTCTCTGGCTGACACTGACAGGAGGTAGGCCCCTGGGGTGTTGTTCTCCTGMACGATGACTTGGTAATAGGGCTTGGAGAAGTGGGGATGGTTGTCATTCTCATCGGTGATCTTGACGGTGAAGGACTTGGTGGCCTGCAGGGAGGGAATGCCRTTGTCCCTGGCCTGGATGGTGAGGTTGTACTGGTCCCTCTGCTCCCGGTCCAGCCGCCCATCCACCAGGATGGTGGAGAAGCTCTCGTACTCCTGCAGTCGAAAAGGCACGTTGCCCAGGAGCTTGCACTGCACGCGCCCGTTGGCCCCGGAGTCGCGGTCCGAGACCCGCACCAGGGCGATGACGTAGCCCGGCGGGGCGTTCTCGCTCACYTCCACCAGCTCACTGTTGACTGAGAGCAGGTTGATGAGGGGCGGGTTGTCGTTGGCATCCTGGACACTAATGGTCACTTTGCAATGGGCAGGGATGGAGTTAGGCCCCAAGTCCTTGGCCTGCACGTCCAGCTCGTAGACGTGACCCTCCTCATAGTCGATGGCACCRCTCACCGTGATGAGGCCACTCTGGGGGTCGATTTGGAAGAGCTCCCGGGCCCGCTCAGAGACGTAGCTGTGGAAAGAATAGAGGACCTGGCCGTTGGTGCCCTCGTCCGGGTCAGAGGCATTGAGGCGGATGACTGGCGTCCCCGGTGGGGCATTTTCAGGCACACTGACGGTGTAGGCTGGCTCCTCGAAGAGCGGGTTGTTGTCATTGGAGTCGATGACGCGRATGCTGAGCTCCACCGTGCCAAAGTTGGGCGGGTCACCACCATCCAGCGCCGTGATCACGTAGCTGTAGTGGGACTGGGTCTCACGGTCCAGGCTCTTCTCCACCACCAGCTCAGCAAAACGGGACCCGTCACCCCGCGTCTTAGTCTCCAGCCCAAAGAGGTCATTGGGGGTGATCTCATAGCTCTGCACACCAAAGCTGCCCGAGTCTGGGTCATAGGCACTCTCCAGGGGCACCCGGGTGCCAGGGCTGGCCGTCTCCGAGATCTCCAGCTCRATTTGGTCGGTGGGGAAGCTGGGAGCATTGTCGTTTAGGTCCTTGATCTCCAGCTTGATCACGCAGATCTCCATGGAGCTGGACATCACCTCCAGCGAGATGACACACTTGGGGCTCTGTCGGCATAGCAGGTCCCGGTCGATCTTCTGCTTGGTCACCAGCAACCCGGAGCCGGGGCTGATGTCCACCAAGTGGGGGGCCGAGTTGGAGACCACCCGGAAGGCGGCGGGCTGCCGGGGGTCCAGCACGAAACCGGCGTCCCGGGCGTCCTTGGCGACGTTGGCGATCACCGTGCCGGCCCGCTGCTCCTCCTCCACCGAGTACTTGAGGTTGACGAGAGCCCCGGCGCCGGCCCACAGCAAGGCGGCCCCGAGCAGCGCCGGGAGAGCCCCCATCGCCGCGCCGCCCCCTCCGCCCGCCGC